ATTGTTTTAGTTGTTGATGAACTTTTATTTTATTCATCTACTTATATGTGGTGCTGAGAATTGAATCCAGTGCCTCACACATGCAAGACAAGTGCTCTACAACTGAGCCACAGAACCAGCCCTCAATCTTTATCCAAGTAAGAACATAGTTACAACAAACTGAAAGAAAAAAGGATGAAAATGGCTTATAAGGGGCTGGGGATGTGGCTCAAGTGGTAGCGCGCTCGCCTGGCATGCATGCGGCCCGGGTTCGATCCTCAGAACCACATACAAACAAAGATGTTGTGTCCGCCGAAAACTAACTAACTAAATAAATATTAAAAAAAAAAAAAAAAAGAAAAAAGAAAATAAAAGAAAATGGCTTATAAATTTTTTAAAATATTTTTTTTAGTTGTAGTTGGACACAATATCTTTATTTATTTATTTATTTATTTATTTATTTATTTATTTATTTATTTATTTATTAGCAGGCGCAACATCTTTGTTTGTATGTGGTGCTGAGGATCGAACCCGGGCCGCATACATGCCAGGCGAGCGCGGTACCGCTTGAGCCACATCCCCAGCCCCTATTTATTTATTTTTATGTGGTGCTGAGGATCAAACCCAGCACCTCACACATGCTAGGAAGTGCTCTACCACTGAGCCCCAGCTCCGGCTTGTATTTTTTACTATTTTATAAGTATGATTTTTAAAATACAAAGCAAATTTAAATATTTATTTTATGCATTCATATATGCAGAGTTGAATACTGCCATTCCACTGCTTTTTCTCTGATACTCTGATATTTCTTTACCAGTGATCCATACCCCTACATTATTTCTGATTCATGTCTTACATCACACGTGCATTAATAATCTATTAAAAACTGTGAGGTAGGGTCTAAGGGTAGGGTCTAAGTGGTAGAGCGTTTGCCTAGAATGTGCAAGGCCCTGGATTCCATCCCCACAAAACAAAACAAAATGAAAACTATGAGGTGGTACCGTACATAATAATGATATGATTAAATCTAACTTATGCAATAATAAATGTAAATAATGGTTAATATTAGAAATGGAATCATCAGGCAGAGGTAGATGGTAATAGATCACAAGTAGTTGATATTACTAAAGTTTTTCTTTAGTATCTTTTGGAATAAGATAATCTTTGGTCTCATATTTGAGAAAAGTAGTCTCATCAAAATATAAAATAATTGGCCAGGCATGGTCACATATGCCTATAACCCCAGCTACCTGGGAGGTTGACCTAGGGGGATCATAAGTTCCAGACCAGCCTCACCAATTTAGCAAGACACTGTATAATTTTAGGGCTGGGATTGTGGCTCAGCGGTAGAGCGCTCGCCTAGCACAGGAGGGACCCAGGTTTGATCCTCTGCACCACAAAAAATAAAGGCATTGTGTTGTGTCCATCTACACCTAAAAAAATATTTAAGAAAATATATATATAATTTTAAAAAGGGGTAGCTCAAGGCAAAAACTAGGGATTACAGGAACACATCTCAACATTGTAAAAGCTATCTATGCTAAGCCCTAGGCCAACATCATTCTAAATGGAGAAAAATTGAAAGCATTCCCTCTAAAAACTGGAACAACATAGGGATGCCCTCTTTCACTACTACTATTTAATAATTCTTGAAACTCTAGCCAGAGCAGTTAAACAGACGAAAGAAATTAAAGGGATACGAATAGGAAAAGAAGAACTCAAATTATCACTGTTTGCCTAAGATATGATTCTATACCTAGAAGATCCAAAAAATTCTACCAGAAAACTTCTAGAACTAATAAATGAATTTGGCAAAGTAGCAGGATCAACACCCATAAATCAAAGGCATTTCTGTACATCAGTGACAAATCCTCTCAAAGAGAAACTAGGAAAACCGCCCCATTTACAATAGCCTCAAAAATAAAATAAAATACTTGGGAATCAAAAAAAGAAGTGAAAGACCTCTACAATGAAAATTACAGAACGCTAAAAAAAGAAATTTAAGAAGACCTTAGAAGATAGAAAGATCTCCCTGTTCTTGAATAGGCAGAATATTGTTCAAATGATCATAGTACCAAAAGCATTATACAGATTTAATGCAATTCTAATCAAAATCCCAATGACATTCCTCATAGAAATAGAAAAGGCAGTCATGAAATTCATCTGGAAAAATAAGAGACCCAGAATAGCTAAAGGCAATCCTTAGCAAGAAAAGTGAAGCAGGTGGCATCACTATACCAGACCTTAAACTATACTACAAAGCTATAGTAACAAAAACAGCATGGTACTGGCACCAAAATAGACAAGTAGACCATTGGTATAGAATAGAGAACAGAGACAAACCCACATAAATACAGTTATTTATATTAGACAAAGGCACCAAAAACATATTGGAAAAAGGATAGCCTCTTCAACAAATGCTGCTGGGAAAACTGGAAATCCACGTGCAACAAAATGAAATTAAGCCCCTATCTCTCATCATGAACAAAACTCAACCCAAAGTGGATCAAGGGACCTAGGAATTAAACCAGAGACCCTGCACCTAATAGAAGAAAAAGTAGGCCCCAAATCTTCACCATATCGGATTAGACCCTGACTTCTTTAATAAGACTCTTATAGGGCAAGAAATAAAATAAAGAATCAATAAATGGGGGCTGGGCTGTGGCTTAGTGGTAGAGTCTTGCCTAGCATGCGTGAGGCATTGGGTTCGATTCTCAGCACCACATGTAAATACATAAAAAAAAGGTCCATCAACAATTGAAAAAAAATATATATATATATATAATAAAACAATCAATAAATGGGATGGACTCAAACAAAAGTTTCTTCTCAGAAAAAGATACAATCTGTGAAGTGAATAGAGAACCTACATTTTGGGAGGAAATTTTTACCACAGGCACATCAAATAGAGCACTAATCTCGAGGATATATAAAGGACTCAAAAATCTTACCACCACAAAATAAATAACTCAATCAATAAATGGGCCAAGGAACTGAACAGACACTTCTCAGAAGATGATATACAATCAAACAACAAATACATAAAAAAACGTTCAACACCTCTAGCAATTAGAGAAATGCAAATCAAAAGATTTCATCTCACTCCAGTTAAAATGGCAGTTATTACGAATACAAACAACAATAAGTGTTGGCGAGGATGTGGGGAGAAAGGTATTCATACATTGCTGGTGGGACTGCAAATTGGTGCAGTGAATATGGAAAGCAGTTTGGAGATTCCTTGGAAAACTGAGAATGGAACCACCATTTGATCCAGCTATCCCACTCCTCGGTCTATACACAAAAGACAAAAAACAGCATACTACAGGGACACAACCACATCAATGTTTATAGCAGCACAATTCACAGTGGGTAAATTGTGGAACCAATCTAGATGCCCTTCAGTAGATAAATGGATAAAGAAACTGTGGTATATATACACAATGGAATATTACTCAGCATTAAAAAAGAATAAAATCATGGCATTTGCAGGTAAATGGATGGAGTTGGAGAATATTATGCTAAGTGAAGTAATGCCAAAGAACCAAATGCCAAATGTTTTCTCTGATATAAAGATGCTGATCCGGGCTGGGGATGTGGCTCAAGTAGTAGCATGCTCGCCTGGCATGCGTGGGGCACTGGGTTCAATCCTCAGCATCACATAAAAATAAAGATATTGTGTCCACCGAAAACTAAAAAAAATAAAATAAAAAATTCTCTCTTGGGCTGGGGCTGTGGCTCAGTGGTAGAGTGCTCACCTAGCATGCATGAGGCACTGGGTTCAATCCTCAGCACCACATAAATGTAAGATATAGTGTCCACCTAAAATTTAAGAATAAAAACTTAAGAATAAATATCTTAAAAAAAAAAAATTTTCTCTCTCTCTCTCATGCTGATCCATAATGGGAATGTGGGAGGAGCATGAGAGGAATGGAGAAACTTTAAATAGGGCAAAAGGGAGGGATGCGAAGGAAGGGGTAGGGGCATAGGAAAAATGGTGAAATGAGATGAACATCATTACCACAACAAGTACATGTATGAAGACACGAATAGTGTGACTCTACTTTGTGTACAATCAGAGACATGAAAAATTGTGCTCTATTTGTGTACTATGAATTGAAATGCATTCTGTTGTCATATATAACAAATTAGAATAAAAAGAAAAGACTAAAAGGGCTGGCTCATTAGTAAAGCACTCTAGATTCAATTTCCAATACCAAAACACACATGTAAAATAAACTGATTTAAAAAATTAACAATATTGGGGCTGGGATTGTGGCTTAGCAGTAGAGGGCTTGCCTAGCGTGGGCAGGATCTGGGTTCGATCCTCAGCACCACATAAAAAATAAAGGCATTATGTTGTGTCCATTTACACCTAAAAAATAAATATTAAAAAAAATTAACAATAATTTTTTAAGAGTCCTAATAAGAAATTCAACCTACGTAAAGTTATTGCTTCAGGCTCTTGGCTAATGTAATAATTAAAAGTATTTGTAGAGGGCTGGGGTTGCGGCTCAGCGGTAGAGTGCTTACTTAGCATGAGTTCGATTCTCAGCACCACATATAAATAAGTGAATAAAATAAAGGTCCACCAACAACTAAAAATCTATATATAATTAAAAAAAAAAAAAAAGGATTTGTAGAGTAAAAAGGTGGTCTTGGGGTAAAACAGTCTACGCTATTTGAGGAAATCTTAGGGTTTATTTATTTCTATTAGGAAAAAATCATATTCTACATTAAAATTCAAGAGCATTCCCATAATTTTATCATAAACATCTTTAGTCTGAAAAGCATAATAAAAATCTTGCTTACTAAAATATCTTTACAAAAATCATCCTTACTAAAATATCATTTACTAAAATCTTTTTATTCAAAAAGCAAATTTAACAGCTACATTCCTTTAAAGATATCTGTGTAACAATATTAGATTCTTCTAAGCTAATATTTTAAATTTGAAAAGTCTAGACAATTATTTGCACATGTGCTGTTTGCTACATTATTTAATAGTTTTAAAGTGATCATACCTCTTCAATACCAGCTATATTATTCACAGCCAGTTTTTTTAGAGAACTCTGAAGCTTTTTGTCATCAGCTGTAGCTGTCCTATGTACCACCTTCTTCTTTCTGCGAGCTGTGCCCTGAAAAATAATCAGAGGTGTTAGCATGCTCAGCAGCTGGCAACTGCAATCACATCTTCCTATCTACTACAACAATCTAACTAAAACTTTCTAAATAGTAATGACCAATAAGACTGCTCAGAGTAGTGATTGTCAATCTAACCCAGATTTTTTGAAGGTCAGTTCTAGCTGTTCTTATTCTTATCCAGTATCTAACTGTTCTTTAAACACTTTTAAAAATACTGTTTGCTAATAAGACATAATTCATAACTTCAAGACAACTTAATATACTTTATAACAACTTTCAAATATTATAAAGAATGCTTTCTTACAGTCTTTACCACCTCCTACCAATAAAAGTCTAAAGAGGTCTGAAATCTTGAGAATTAAGGCATATTAAGAATTAAATGCCTATGATTTGAGTATTAGAGAATCTGAAAATCCAGGAATGAAAAAGATGAACATTTTACCTAAAGTTTTTACATTACAATAAAAGGAAAAGTCAGTAAATACATTAAAAAAAACCTATTTCAAACATGATAAGGACTCTTATAAAATCACAAAACAAAAACATAGTAATTAAGAGTGACTGGGAGCAGAGCACGACCTTACCAGGCCCCTATGAAAAGGTGACACATGAATTGAGACCCACAACTAGGGAAGAGTGATCCAAGCAGAATGAAGAAAGGCTGAATTGTCTTTTCTAGACAAAAGGGCTAGAGCACATGCGAAAGGAGAAGAAAAATGATATCAGAAAAGATAAGCAAGGGCCAGACTACATAGCCTAGAATTTCATGGGCAGGAACTGGATTTATTCTAATTGTAATAGGAAGTCATTGAACAGTTTTAAACATGGAGGTAGCTAGACTTGATTTGTTCACTTAGGACTAAGGTTGCTATTTGGAAAATGGTCTTTAAGGAGACCAGTCAGGAGGCTCCAGTAGCAGTCCTGGTGAGATATGACATTTGTGGGAGTGGAGATGGTGAATATCAGATTGTCACAAGAGATGACATGACTTTTGATGGATTAGATGATGGATATGAAAAAAAGAGTAGTCTAGGATGATGCTCAGGATTTTGGCCTGAGCAAACAGATTGAAAATCATACTTTTAACTGAGATACAAAAAGTTCATTTTCAATATAGAAAAGTTCAATCAATCAATACAGATACTTTGAAACTCAAAATACACTTTTCTACTGGAAAAACTGTTATAAAAATGGGCCAATTAAAAAAAATAAACTAAAGCAAAGCGGAAACACGAACAAAATCAGCCTAAGTTTAGATAGTTAAGTCTTTCTGAAAGTAGGAGTAGGGATATCTCCTTCTGTAGTCCTCAGGGAATCAGCTTTACAGAGAGGAGGTAGAACCTTCAGTCTCAGAAACTCCAGTGAGAGAAGGGACATTTGGCAGCAGATTGTGACAAAATCCAGTATTGAAGTATCACTATTACAATGGTCTTTTTTTTTTTTTTTGGGGGGGGGGAGGTATTGTATTGAACCCAGGGGTGCTTTACCACTGAACTAAATCTCAGTCCTTTTATTTTTTAAATTAAGACAGGATCTTGCGAAGTTACCAAGTGTAGCCTGCAACTTGCAATCCTTCTGCTTCAGCCTTCTGAGCAGCTGAGATTACAGGCATATGCCATTGTGCCTGGCTCATGGGTTACTTATTTGTGAAGGTTTCCTGACTCAGAGATAGTTCAGTTGCTTGCTGTATACCTCAATTCAAATGATCCTCAGGAACATCAAATGCAATGTCAAAAGGCTCATCAATCCACCTGTCTATTCTTCCTTTACTTCCTAAGTTTTATAGCTGCTGGTATTTCCATACATCCAATTTCTAAAACCAGAAGTCTAGGTATCATCCCACTCTTCTTTCTGACCTTTATCTCCCATATCCCATCAATCATTAAATCATGTCAATTCCAACTCCTAAACCTGTGACCCATATAGTTCAGCAATAACCTCTTGATGATTCTCTATGCTAAACTATTTCATTCCCTTTTCCACACTGCCCAGCTACCTTTCTGAAATGGCTGTCATTTCCTTTCTGAAATCCTTCAATAGTTGCCTACTTCCTACAGGATAAAATTCCAACCTTCTTAGTAAGGCATAAAAAACTACATTGGAATCCCAAATTATCAGGTCATTTTGTTTCCTACCATTTTCTATCTATCATGTACTCTAAACTAGCTGTATGAATTCAAAGCAAGTAATTCCTTTAAGCACTATGTTATCTAAGCACTCTATGTGCCTTTGCACGTGTGGAAATAATAATCCTTTTTTATCTGTTCTCCCATGAACCTGGTCAGTCTGACAATAAATTCTTATTTATCCTGTATTTTATTATTATTTGATTTTTGGTTCTGCAGATCAAACCCAGGGTTTCCCGCCTGCTAGGCAAGAGCTTTACAACTGAGCTAAACCTTTAACACTTTTTATTTTTATATTGAGACAGCGTCTCACTGTGTAGCCGAGGCTGGCGTCAAACTTGTGATCCTGCATGGGACTCTTACTAGCTGGGACTCTTACTAGCTGGGAATCCATGTGGGGCCACCACACCCAGCTGTTTATTATCCTTTGAATCCCAGCTTGCCTCCCCTAAGGAAGAGCACCTTGTTATTCATTTTAACACTTTCTATTCTTCATTGTAATTGTGAGCATGACTCTCTTCCAATCTGAGATATGTCGAATAGGAGATTTTATTTATCTACTATGTGCCTGGCATATGGCAAATGCTCAATAAACAATAGAACAATGAATGACGGTACCAACAAATGGTTTAAAATACATGATGATGATGTGTGGCATCATGTCTTTCCAGATATATTCTATGATTCTTGAATATCTCTAGTTTTTTGCACTGGCATGTTATATCACATTTGATGCTACAGTGTGACTACTGTGATTACATGAGTGTATTAATATGACTCCAGAACCATATAACTATAGCATTATGAAATGAGAAGGTACTAGTCAAGTCTTTTCTTCCTCTTTCCTGACTCTGTCACCAAGAGCTGAAATTGTTGTTAAAGTAAATGACACAGTGAGGACTGACACAGTGCCTTACCTACCCCTTTCTCCTTTTCCCTTTTGCAAACACTGTACTAGATAGACAAAGGTAAACTATTCTCCTGGGGCCCAGGGCCACAGTTGAGGGGAAATCAAAGATTTTTGGTGTTCAAAACTAAGTACTTCTTTAGGTTTTAAAGTATATGAAAAAAAGAAAGCTCATGTTCATATTCACCAACATAGAAAAACAGGCAGGAATCTAGGAGGAAAACCTAGCAATAAACAAAATGTATAACCCATTCAAGAATTTATAGTTAATTTTTTTTTCCTCCTGCAGAACTGGGAATTGAACCTGCTGGTGTTCAACTACTGAACTACATCCCCAGACCTTTTAAATTTTTTTTTTTTAAATTTTGAGATGAAGTCTAGGTTGCCCAGGCTGACCTGAAACTTGTAATCCTCCTGCCTCAGAATCCCCAGTAGCTGGGATTATAAACAGGTGTCATCACACCCAAATTCTAGTTAATATCCTGTAAATCTAACTGCACCAGTGCGTACATTCAGTCAAGATGTAATGCTAATATCTGGCATGCCCTGAAGATAAACTGAACATTATAATAACAACTATCATCTACTAAGCATCTACCCTGTGACAGATACCATATAAGGTGTTTTATAAATATTTCTCTAATTTTTAGAAGCATCTTTTAGGATTATTTATATTTTGCGGATGAAAAAAATGGAAGTCATGTGTTGAAACTTGTTTTGTCATAACTAGCAGCTATTAAAGTTAGGTTTCAAACAAAGGTGGCTATTTCATTGTATCATCAGAGAAAAGTCTTCTAGGTAGCTGTTTTAGATCTAAACAAATAATTCTCAAATTGGAATGTGGTTTGGTCTTGATTATGGAAAAGATTTTAGGTTTTCAATGACCACAAGTCCAAAATCATAATACTGTCTAGTAATCATACATTCTCCTATCAGTTTTTCTTATGCCACACTCACCTTGCCCCCTATCCGGACCTGAGCCTGAAGTTTGGCTAACTTTTCTTGATTCATGCTGTTGGTAAATCTAGGGGGGGAAAAATAGATTTGTTAAAGACACTGTTTTATGAAAATTAAAGAAAAAACTGTTTATACAAACAGTACCTTTTGGCTCACTGAGTTTGCAGTATGCATTAACACCACAACCATATTAATACTGTCTATATTCATAATAAATACCTTGTTCTAGCTTCATAAACCAGGTATTGCTAAAAATCAAAATTAAAGTAATACCACAGGGAGCCAAATATACAAACAAAAAAAAAAAGAATGGGATTCAAAGTCACCTATTTGAAGACTCCTCCTTAAAAAGTGATTCAGTTCTTTGGCATTCAGTAAAATCTAGCCAATTACAAAATCTCTGTAGGCAAGCCAGTTTTTCCTCCCAAAGATTTTTAGAGCGGAGAACTGTTACCAAATATTATCAGCAAAACCTTCAAGTAAATAATTTTCTCCCACATCAAAATCTGTATTTCCCAAATCATAAAGAGGACAAAAGGGGTAGGGAAAAGGCTAGACAAAGATGAATTCAACAATAGGCTGTTCTAGCTGTCAAAATATGTAGTCATGTCCTCTATTCAAGGTCGGATGTTGTGTTAATAATGGGGAAACAAACCAGATTTCAACATTTAGTACTTCTATAGCACTCCAGAATTCATTTAATACTTTGTGCTGATGTAGTTAGTATACCACACTTGTCAAAATATTCTTGAATATAGGGGAAAATATTTCACTGCACAATTTAACAAAAACATATCTAGGTTACATGAATACTAAACTGGTGGGAAGGGCAACTCAAAGTTTTTATAGCAATTTTTGTTTTGAAAGTTCTAAAAGCATTATAAAATCATGAATTCTAGTTTCATCAATAATATTCCTACTAAGGAAAACAACATTCTTAAGTTTATGATGGATCTTAACACACAACAAACAAATAAAAGCCAATTTAAAAGTCTTGTTTGACTTGTTCTGAAGCTCAACAGATCATTACTGAGATGTGAGGAAGGGAAAAAAGAACTAGGCTGTTATTAAATCTTTTGGGGCAGATTCTCCAAACCCAGTATGATCTCGCCATTTAGATAAAAGATATTGTTTTCTTCCTTTGAGATGAAGAGATGAAAAGATTACGTAATTACTAGTTACTCTGTACTGACATTGAATTTAGGCACTAACCTCCCTGCATCTCTGCTTTAAGGCTAAATAAAGTCCAGTTCCCAAATAACAATTAGAATCTATTATTTCTTTGTTCAGCATTGTATCACAGTGATCAAGAAGCTAAAAACACTCTTCTAGGAACAACTGTGTTTAGAGTCCAAAACAAGCAACCTTATGCATATGCCAATCTTAGCTCTGCCATAGACTTAAATTTGCTGACGTAAATCCTAATCTTTATATTTAGATCTCCACAGGAATGGACCAATATTCACTTTTTTCAAAGTAATGTGGCTTTGAAGGTGTAGTGAACTAACAGAGCTTAAGGAATTTCTTGCAAAAAACGGGGCTAAGTGAAAATATTAAAATCAAACACAGAATAAACCCTTTGGGACTTTTCTTCATTTTTAAGTAATAATCCTCAAGAGAAGAAATAGAGTTGGGAAGATAAGAAAGAGTCCTGACTTGTTTGAAACAAAGAACCACATTAACTCTTTAAATCAATGTGTAGATGAAAGAACAGATGCCATTCCAGGTGGTTAGGATAACAGAATTGCAAAATCTTATCCTCAAGGAGTATCTCAGAGAAAAAGCATTATAGGGAAGTTGGAAGCTCAAAGCAGAAGTGAAGGAACAAGTATGGTCTTTTGTCTTATTAGCAAATTGTGGTGTGTGGAATTCAAGAGGGAAAGGTGACTGGACTGTCTTTGAGAGAAGAGATGTCAAGCTCAGCATCTGGAGTAGACTTCAAATATTACCTGATTTAATTCCCTTTTCTTTAATCCATCTTAATTAGTACCTGTCATTCCTGTCTTATATATATGAGGACAACAGCGGGGCACAAATTATAAGCAGTTCAGCGTTTTCCAATTTAATAGAAAAAGAAGGCCTAGAGGTAGCAGTTCCTTTCTGCAACCGAAGGGAGAAGTAACTTCCTTTGGTCACATGATAATGAGTTCTTCCTTGGGAGATCCGAGGATCTTTTAGCACTTTTCTTAGGAGTTCAAAAAAAAAAAAAAATGAGGTTAATCAATACTTAACCTAAGTAACCTAAGTTACCTAAGTTCCAAGCATTGTGGTAGGCATTTTCACATACATCATGTTTACACAGGGATAAAAATAATTTCAACCTTTAGTCTCAACTTTTTATTATGAGATTTCTTTAAGCACAGGCTGTAGAATCAAAGACACTGGGTCTACTCTACTTAAGGCTTCAGAAAAGTATTTTACTTTTTTGAACTTTTGTTCCTCCTGCATCAGGAAAGGTATAACACATGCTTCACAGGGTTGTTTTGAGGGTTAAAGGTAGATTATCAAGCACAAGATATGGCTCAGAGAAATATACTCAATAATTGGTAACTATTGTTACCATTCCCGAGGGGATAGCTAAGGTATAAGTGAAATAACGTGGGAAGGGAAGTTGAAACCGCCATTCACTAGCTGTATACCACTGTGCCTGTCGGTCAATCATCAAGAAGTGATGGGGTTATAAGGATGGGCTAGGCAATGTCTCAAAAGGGAGGCAGACTTGTAAACAAATTCTGCCATTATAAGGTGATGAGCCCTGCAAGAGAGTCCGGTTCTCCGGGCAGGGGGCGGGGTGCTAACCTAGGTTTCCCTATCTGTAGACTGGAAGCATCAACTGAGATGACAACAGATAAGCTGTATAAGCTCAAAACATATGACATTGTTGTTGTGAATAACGAAGAGTAATGGGACAGAGGAGAGGGGGTCCACCGGCCTCCTGGGACTGGATTTGGGCGGCAAAAGCACCGTCCCGCTCTCACAGGGGGCGTTGGTGCTGGGGACCTTCCCTCAGGTGCCGACCCCCAGCTGCGCCGCCGGTAACCGACAGGCCAAGCCAGCCGCCTCCGCCCCCACTCGCCGCGCCACGGCGGAAGTGGCAGCCCGAGCGGTTGGCGGGTGTCGGAAGAAGAGGGCGGGGGGAGACCGTGCGCAGCGGCCTATGGCCGTGGAGTGGCGGGACCGCCGGGGGTCTCACCTGGAGCAGGGAGGGTCCTCCAACACCAGCACGCGGCAAGAGCAAGATGGCTGCCTCAGCCGAGACAGAGAAAGACGGCGGCGGCGGGAGCGAGGCCCACGTGACACAGTCAGCCCCGCCTCTCCTTCCCCGGCGGCCTATCTCGGGAGCGCGCATCCCAACTACAAAACCCAGCCTGCTTTGCGCACCCCAAAATTTCTATTGGCGGCAGGTGCCGGGTGCCGCGCTGCATCCTGGAGCTTACAGTCTCCCAGGCGTTCCATTGTGTCGGTACTTAGTTTGTGGAGAACCTAATAAAAGGGCGAAATGATTTTGTTTGTGTAGTTTTGTTCTGGTGCTTTTCACTATTAATTAAGTATGTACTGTTGGACTCAAACTAATAGAAGAAAGATGGGAGATTTTGGCCTGTTATGCAGTAGAGGCCGAAAATTAAAAAGAAATATTTAATCCACAACAAAAATAGATTTAATCTGAAGAAGCTTTACATTTTAAATGCCTACAGTAACATGACCTGGTTCCCTTGGAACATTTAGTTTTGCAATAAGAAGCCCCAACTCTGTTTTTCTTGGAGCTTGTATTAGTTGGTTGCATCCTCCTTAGCGTGAAAGTGAAGTGCATGCCTGCAAAGCAAGAGACAGTTGAATGCAGAATGGGTTTATCAGGAGACCTGAGCAGGAAATTAATTAATTCCGGTTGTCCGATTTTTCTTACTTGCGGTGGGGGAAGGGAAATTCGAGGCCAATAGGCGACTCACCCACTGTTGGGAGAGGTTGACCTCACGAATCAATAATTTGCGTTTTGAATATTAAGTACAGCGGTTCTGGGGGCGGGGGAGGCAGGGGGAGGGGTTAGTCTGACTGGCAGACGTAGTCCACAACGGTTCTTCCGAACCTCTCCCTTACCCCCACCCCCACCGTCTCAGCCCACCTTTTTCCGCTCGGTCCTGAGGCCTCGACTTACAAGACCCTGAGAAGGCAGATCACGCTCGAGAGCATTTCCCGAACCCTTCTACGTGATCTGCACCTTTAACTCCATCCCAAACCGGACCCCGGAGGCACCACCCACATCCGTCTAACATCACTTCCTTCAGAGTTTGGAAAAAAAAAAAAATCTGAGAAAGAGAGGGTCTGGGCTGACCCCGCTCTAAGGAAAAGAAACGGATCTCTTGCGGTGACTCGGGCCCTGTGTCGGGTCAGCCCGGTGGTCCCGCGCACCTAGCACCATGGAGATGTGGCCTCGTCTCGGGGCCACCTGTTTGCTGGGCTTCAGTTTCCTGCTCCTGATCACCTCTTCTGACGGACACATTGGGCTTGGAAAGGGTCAGACTGCATTCTTATCTTAATCTTTACTGATCCGGGGCCCCAACCGAATAGGACCCTTCCCTTGTCTAACACTGTTCCCCTCGGGTTTTCTTTCTTAGGCTACGCCAGATTTCTTTTTTTTTTTTTTCTTCCGCAACCGCACCTAGAGTTTTGACTATTTCTTGGGGTAGGGAGTAGTGAGTTCGGGAAAGGTAAGATGGGGAAGTTATACTTAAGGTCTCTATTAATTTTTTTATTGGGGGAAGAAATAGTCTGTAAATTAGAAAAAGCATGTTTAAGAGCCCAGCGTAGTGCTGGGCACTTGGTAGATCCTCAGGAATGGTCACATTCCCTTCCTAAAGAAATAGCGTCCTCGGGAACCTACTGTGTCGAGATTCCAGCCTTGGATCTGAAGATTCCTCACTCTTCCTTGAAGAGCTAGGTTACTGCCTCCTTGCCCTGGGAGATGAAAAGAAAAGGGCCAGATGAAGTATAGAAGTTCTGCTGTTAGAGGGCCACCAACAGTTGTCTTTGGTGTGGTTCAGCCAGTGTGTCTAAAGAAACTGATTTTTATTTTTTATTTTTCTGAGGAGGGAATGATCGGTAGTTACGAATGGAGGTTAGTATCCCAACTCCATCCCATTACCTACATCTTCATTCACAATTTGAACACCTTTCTCCTCATCAGCTCTTTCTTGGTTGAAAGTTGGACCCACTGAACTCAGGGTTTATGCTTTTCTAAGGGGGTTAGTTATACTTGGATCTCACCCCCTCTTCCATTTTTTTTTAACTGACCTGACTATATGGAATGATTCTGCTGGAATATTTTTTATTGTTTTCTCTTATCCTCCTTATCTTTACATTCCTTTATGGGTAAAGACATTCTGTGGACTTTCAGTGGACTGAATGCATCCATTTCTTCCTTCAGTATGTAATTTTTGATCACCTACTATATTTCTGGCATTGTCCAAGGCACTATCAATGAACTGGACAGATAAGATTCCTGCTGTCATGGAGCTTGTATTCAAGTCAGAGAAAGAGAAAGTAGTGCAGACTCATTGACAAATTAATAAGACAATTTCAGCTGGGCAAATGAAACTGTGATAGAGTAGGAAATAGTAGAAAGGTTTAGGAGGATGAGGGAGGAATTAACTGAGTTAGGAAGATCAGGGAAGGGTTTTCTGAGGTTTCCATCTCAGTGATGAAGCCTGCACAGTGAATTCCATTAGGCCAGAATGTTTAAAATACACTAGTAATATTTGCAGAATGTTCTTAATCCCATTGTAAAATAGGTTACTGTTTATTTAGAATAAAATATTAAGTACTGAGGAAGACGGAAGACTATGGTGTTAGGATGTGAGTTTAGCTCCGAATTTTAATGTGTTCTGACACAAAACCAGTTGCCTTGTCTCTGGGTCAGGAATTTGAATGAGTCACAGTTGGGGAATATTTCTCTCTTCCATGATGTCAGGGGCCTCAACAGACTGGTTATTTCTCTCTGTGGTCTTTCTGCATGGGCTAGTGTAGGCTTCTTCCCCATTATGGTAGCTGGATCCCAATAATGAGTGACCCAAGAGAATAAGATGGAAATGCATAGCATTTTTATTATCTAACCATATAGGTCATATGGCATCACTTCTACTATACTCTGTGGGAGCAGGTTCAAGTGGAAGGAACATTAACATCTATACATGAAATAGGAGGCACACTGAAGTCACATTTGTAAGAGGAGCATGTGAGATGGAAGGTTTTATTGTAATTATCTTTGGTAAATATTATCTGCCACAGTGAGCCAGGACCATTTCAGCCTTGTTAATGCTCAAGAATATTTGTTGCAAGAAAAAATGAATGGTAAATATGATTGTTATGTCCCCTGTACTTTTAAAAACAAGTAAGTAGGCAGTTATATGACAACATATATGGACTTTGAGAAGGAAAATACCAGATAACTGCAGCAGTACATAGAACGACAACTCAGGGTAGGGGGGTTGGGTTTTGAGAATTCAATGAAAAAAAAAAAAAACATTTAATATTGTGTCACACACTTAAATGTTAACTGGCATTATTTCCTCCCATGGAAGAATGTTTAATTATTCCTTAAAGGAATTATAATACTTCAGTTTTTTGTTGTATGTATTTATTATACATGGATTCTTGGGACATAGATTATACCCCACTCACCCCCCACCCAAATGCTACCTGAAGCAGTAGTTCCTGAAAATTTTGATGAGTGAGATTTCTTATCTCTGTTAGATGTTTCAGTATCTCTGACTCTTTTCAGAAGATGGCCTTGTGATTTGCAGAGAGGAGAGAATGAGTGTCCCCACTGTTTTAAGAAAGCACAGTGGTATGGAGTAAGCACTACATAGGCATTGGGAGGCCTGGATTTTAATCCTCTCCTTGCAGAGGGAGAAACTAGAAAGCTGTCAGTAGAGGCAGTTTGCTCTCTGGCGCAAAACATATAGATGATTTTGTCAAGTCTCTAGGATAAACATTTGGCACTAATACTTACAAAGTATTTACCTTCCACTCGGTATCCTGTTCACTTTCACAGCAACCCTGTGGGATTAATATTTTCGTTAGCCATATTTTGCATTTGTGAGAATAGTAAATGGCTGAGCTAGGATTCTAACTCCGGTCTGTCTGACCTTTTGTTATTCAGGTTTTATCTGCTGGGAGAGGGTGGATAATACTTTTCTTATGTCTTTAGCTTACACTCATTAAAACACTTTTTAGAATGAAAAGCTTGGAAATGCTGATATAAATGCTGTATTTAGAAATGGTTGCTTTGCCTTTTTAACTGTTTTAGGAGAAGAACTGCTGGCATGGGAGACTTTAGCTTACTTTACAGAAAACTGGCATAAATTAAATGGCTATGCAGCTGACACTTTAGGAAACTGGACTATCTTCAGGTGTTCCATGCTGGCATAGGAGTGAGTGTGGGTGGTTCTGGGGAGTGGATGATTTTAGTAACAAGGTAAAGTAGTGCACCTGTATAAATTCTTTTTGAAGGAGAAACCAAAGAACTCAAGTTTTACATAATTGAAGTCAGTATTCTCATTGTGCTTTGGTGAAGATTCATTCCTTCATTCATTTCTTCATTTAACTTTTGCTACAGAAGCACTAAAGTGCAGTGAATATTTATAACTACAGACTCTGAAGTCAACCTATATTTTAGTTCCAGCTCTGTCACTTACAGGCAGTGTAAGGTCAAGCTATTTAACTTAAGTTTCCTTATCTGTAAAAAAGAGGTAGTTAGAGTTTGTACCTCAAGGTTATTGTGAGAATTAAATAAGTTAATACATGTAAAAGCATTAAAAAAGTATCAGGGGGCTGGGATGTGGCTCAAGCGGTAGCCTGGCATGCGTGCGGCCTGGGTTCGATCCTCAGCACCACATACAAACAAAGATGTTGTGTCCGCTGAAAACTAAAAAATAAATATAAAAAAAAAAAGTATCAGGTACATAATTAATGCCATGTAGGTATTAGTCATTATTAATATTGTTATTATCATTATACTATTAGTATCATAATTATCACCTAAACTAAGCATTCAATAAGTGATGATAGGGCTGGGGATATGGCTCAAGTGGTAGTGCGCTCGCCTCTCATGCATGCAGCCCGGGTTTGATCCTCAGCACCACATACAAACAAAGATGTTGTGTCCGCCAAAAACTAAAAATATATATATATAAATTCTCTCTCTCTAAAAAAAAAATAAGTGATGATAGTAGAGTGTTTGTATTATACCTCTTAGGGGTATACTTCTTAGGGGTATTGCAATAGATCAGCTTGGGAAGTGTTGGGATACTGGAAAAGCCTG